GCTGGTTACAAAATTAATTTACGTAATACTGTGTACTTATTTTTATAATGTACTTTTAATTAATCTTAAATTTATACGCTATACACTATAATTAAACACTTATGAATACATAGTGTCATTGAAACAAAAAGAAATCTTACACTTTGTTTTAAGAAAGAACCAGATTATCTTGACCAGTCACAGGGAATACACATTTCAACTACTTTTGTGCATTCTCTTATTCAAATTAATCATATTAACATATCCAGTAAGAATATCCTAGCTTTCACCTTATGTCTGTAATATTTGTTTACCAAAAGACAGCGTTAGATATCTTAAGTTAATTCGAGCAATTAGGAAGATCATATATTTTCTGCTATTTCAGATGATGCCACTCGTGTTGTCTTAAAAAGTAAAACTTATATCAACGCAAATTACATTGATGTATGTATAGACTTGCATGTTTGATGTGTAATGTAGGAATATTTTCATGTCTTTCAACATTTAAAGATTTTTTTACTGACAACCTTATGCTAGTCATTTGATAGTTCGTTGGCGTATAAATAATTACTTAATTTTAATAACTGATGAAGTTAAGCATACTTGTGCCTTGAATTTGATAATGTCACATAACGTGTGAACAAAATGAAAAGAAATAGCACATGCTTTTGCATTGGCAAGAACTGAACATTTGTTTGACCAGATACTATTTAAGAATTATCACTGATATTTGTATATGGATAATTTTATATACAGATATTTCATATTATGTTTCTTAATTTAATTTAGGGACACAAGAAGTCACCAGAGTACATAGCTTCTCTTGGTATGTATCCATTTTTTTTACGTCGGACCAACGCGGTACAGGTCATATGGCGACTTTTAAGTTTGTAATGATGTAGGAAGACCTCAGGTGCCCTTCCATGCATTAATTCATGCATGAACTGACACATTGTAAAACTGCCGATGACTCGATATAACACGTTATAAATATATAATAGTAATGGTTAAAAAAATATTTTCAGCTCTGGCAAATACTGTCTACAATCATATCAAATACTGCAAATATCTATCTCTTGATTATTCTCACACACATGTTTTCTTTGATTCTTGGTTTATGTGTTAAAAATAGTATTTAACTTTATAATAAATAACACTATTCTCGTCAACCAAGTCTGCAACTGTCATTTTTTTGCTATATTTCAATTACTCTTGAGGCATCTCTCTTTTTAAGGCTTTTATGATGTAAATAAAATGTCATTAAAAGGCAATGTAAAGTAATTACCTTACATTTTCAGGTCGTATTATTTCCATCAATATTTCTCTTGTATTTATTTACTTATTAATGATTTAAGGACCAACCAAGGATGCAATGAATGCTTACAAAGACTTTTGGGAGATGATATGGGAAGAAAAAACAGATAAAATTTTAATGTTGACCAATCTAGATGAGTCTGGGGTTTGTATATTACCACACTCGCCAGGAAAACAACTTTTAGTTTTAGTTTTGAATTTTTCCTCATTTATTTGACTTCATATATAAAAATCTGGAGAAAGATACAGTCTGATTAAAACTGATTATTTTAGAATAATTAGAAACATTTTCTATACACTAAAATATGGTAATAAAATTATAGATATACTGAGAGTTATATGCATACATCTAGCAGTAATTGCATTTAAAACAGTTTGTATAAAGCCTTGTATATTATTTTCTACGTATAATTAATTGTATTGTTAACTTTTTATCTTGGGTCACGTATAATTTGGTTATATACACAACAATTGAACTATGGTCAGAAACATTAAAAAAATTCTTTGCCTACTTCATAGAAAATGAAATGTGAGCAGTACTGGCCTGATCAAGGGAAAACTAAGAATTACCATGGATACAAAGTGGTGTGCATTGCTGAGAAAATATTTTCAGAATTCACTTTAAGGGAGTTTTCTGTTAATGTGCAGGTATGTTATATTGTATCAAAACTAAAATAATTATAATGATTTTACCCTTTTAAAGACTAAATGTTTATTTGTTTGATTTTTTTTATATGCTAAAACAAAGGTTTTATTTATCCCTAGATTATAGTAATTTGTCTATTTGTATCAAATTTAAACATACGTCCTAATCACCTTTGATTTGATTATCGTTTAAGACATAAAAAATCTATTTGTTTGATCTTTCTAATATGTTGACCAAATCTTATCTATATCCCTAGATTGTATTAGTTTTTCTTTAAATTTGTGAACAACATACCTCAAAATATAATGCACCATTGATAAAAATGTTTGTTCTTTTTATTTCAAAGGGTTCTGGATCAAGGAAAGTGACACAATATCACTATACCGCCTGGCCCGACCGATCCGTTCCAGATAATGTTGCCTCTCTGGTAGAGTTTAGAAACAAAGTTGGACAAACAAAGTCAGACGATGGTGGCCCTATAGTGGTACAATGCAGGTATTTGTTTTGCCAGTGCAATTTAAATGTATAAAAAAAACTTACATTGTCAAAAAAATATTTGGTCAATTATCAGCCTGTTGAAAAACATTTGTTATTACAAATAACTCTTAAAAGATATCTGAAACGGAAATGAATATGGAACGCTTTATAGCCATTAGTTCTAAAAGTTTAATTTGTACGTGAATATTGATAATGATTTCCTATATATGTCTGTATGTATGTATCATATAACAGTGCAGGAATCGGAAGAACTGGAACCTATATCGCATTGGATATACTTATACAGGAAGGCAAGAATGATAATTATGTTGACATTTTTGGTCGTGTGATGGCGCTACGTGGACAAAGAGGCCACATGGTGCAAAACTTGGTATGTTATTATATATGGATGATATTTGTTTTTAACACATGTTTGTCATAAGTGTTCTTTAATTGTGATTTTCTTACAATCTGGTATGATGGATATTATAGTAGGATATATATTTGAAGTTGTATTTTTATTATTTGACATAATTATTGATATTCGGAACCATGTATTGTTCTTTCTCTTATTTAGGAACAGTATATATTTCTTCACCGATGTCTTCTGTATGCCCTCACGTGCGATCCCGATCCACTTCCGGTCACACATATTCCTCGTTTGATGACAGATGATAAAATATCACATCAATTTCAGGTACATGTGTATATAGTAATACAAATTGTGTTTTTATAAAAGCTTGATTGTTTTATAATATCTTCCATTTTAGATTGATTAAAATCAGCATAATGACTGTAAACACACACTCAACTGTTCATGAAATATTGTGACGGAAACTTTCGCTGTTTTATTGATTCCAATTATTTCATGTTTCTCTCCTCTGTGATAGTTTAAAGCAAATCGTTTTCATATTGGAGACTTGATACTGCTTATTCTGAAGAAAGTGCTTGATAGTAATCACTCTACTCATTCACTTCCTTTAGACCAATTTATTTATCAATGCAACCAGAAGCGCTCCCATTTGAGATTGAACATTTACTGTTGCATAATAAAAAAATATACAAACAGTTGATCAATTGTCTCCTTATGTATAATAGTAATATGAATATTGTGTAAAATCGAATAATAATCATTAAGAAGATCGTTATTATCAGTGTTATTGAAATTTGCCTAAGATTTAAACAGTTCAAAGTGGCTAAAGCTGGCAAAGGAAAAAAATAATAAAAGAAATAAAAAAAAGGTCACGGTCATTTGTAAGATATTTTTTAAGTTACCTAATGAGCATGAAATATCTAAGTAACAGGTGTGGTTGACTTTCTGAATATTTCAGACATTTACTGATGTTGTTATGCCGACAGACTTCGATGGGAAATCATCTAGGAACAAGAAAATAAGGAAGGAAAATAGACACGGAGCTGACATTCCTGGTATGCAAATTTCGAAATAAGTCAGTGCCACAAGGGGATGGGGATGATATATAAAATGCATTTTCATTCCATAAAATAGAAGTAGAATTTTGACTTAATGATCCTTTGGCATACAGAAATGTTTAAATTAATTTACTAACTATGAAATAATTATTACAGTTAGCATATATTTAGAGCTGTTTAAAAAAAAATAGTAGAAAACCAACCCGTAATTCATAATTGTGTACAAAACGTTGTTTAAATTTAAAAGTTTTAACATTCTTTATTTCAACAATTTCACATTAACTATAGCCATTGTAAAGGTAAACTTCCTTTTTCATTCACACTCATTATACGACACTGCGTTAATAAAAGTAGATTTCAATAGAAAATAACCGTCTGTAAATATACTCTACTTGTATGAAAATCTCATTTGAATAGAAAACCTTGACTATTCAGTGGTTGGTTAAGTTTGAATTCATGGTTAATCCCTGTTGTGCATTGGGAAGTGATTTAAAGCCGAAAATAGATCTTTACAACATTAAACCATAAAGCAAATTTACATTCAACATTTTAAGGCTTCAATAAATAACATCCTATTTTTATGTGTAGGCGATGATTACAGAGTGAGACTGTCATCAACAAAGCATAACTATATAAATGCTGTTTATGTAAATGTAAGTATATAAATGAAAGTAATTTTGATTTCGTTTGAAGTTTCGTTTGTCTCCCTTTTCAATATTTATTTCATGAACCTTGCTTGCGTTGCCTCCCTTTTTCATTGTATATATTTATAGCCTCTTTTCTGGAATTGATCCATCATGCTTTTAAACTGGTATATTATTATTGACATTTTAATAATACTCTTTTATTATATCAGCACAATTTGCATATATGTAAGCTTTTTTAAAATCAAAGATATTTTTACAAAGATCTTACATTATTGTTGTCATTGTCTATAAAATTTCTTTTAACTCATCCCAGAAAAGTTATAAAGCTGGTCATATTCCCGCGTTATAAATCGTTCGTATACTGTTTTATATTAGTATAGATCTATGTGAACAAGTAAGAGTTGTGAAATTGTTCATACTATGTACATAATTACGATTAATGATTGAATATACTTTAAATGGCATTATTAAGTTACATTATATTTTACTTAGTATTTCAATTTCAGGGATACGAAAATCCATACAAATTTATTGTTACACAGACGCCAATGCCGAATACAGTTGAAGACTTTATATCGATGCTTTATCAAGAAAAATGTGCTTGTGTCATTAGTTTAGACGACGAAAACCTGAAAGATAAAGTAAGAATACATTTATAGATAATCTTGCTTGTTTAAAATAATTATAGATAACATTTTATTTAATAGTATTGATTTGCAAATTAATCCATACCTAACATATTTCTTTTTAGTGTCGTTTTACAATTAAATTTAATGCAATACAAATGTTTGCTATGAAAAAATGTTTGGGGATGGGGTGGATTAAACAAAGAATAAACTTCAAAGCTAATTTTAAATCATTCTATTTATATATACTTACCGAATCATAATTTAGACTGATTTTGAATTTTTGCCAAAAATTCTGATCAAATGTTATAATTGATTTTCAAAGAGATTGCTTGAAAAATATGATATTTCAGTTTTTTTATGTTTGTCACTTTTGAATATTACTCATTTCAGTCCGTTGGACATTATCTACCGCAAGATGGAAAGGCGTTCAAAGTTGGTCATTTCCAAGTAACTTGTAAGACGGTTGACACAACGGATTATGGTACAATACGGGACATGACAATATCGCGCACTGGATTGGTAGATGTTCTATGTTTTTAGCTAAGAATAATTATGCCAAGCTCTTTTTGGTGACCGGTTTAATACATATAATTTAATTCTTCTACCTTTTCCGGATTTATTTTTTTCATATCCTCTTTGTTCATAATCATACATTATCCAGCACGAAACTATGAACATTTTGATAAAGCAAATATGTGCAGGATTTGGGAGTTTTCCTTTGTAATTGTTCAGGAATCCTTTACTGTATCTATCATTTATTTCAATCAAGAACATAATTATGGATAAGATAACCGAACATTGCCTTTTAATAGTCTTTCTTAATCCCTTCAACAATGAAACGTAAAACAGTATGTCTATCTATACATCATATATAAAACAAGTAAAAATCAGTGATATTTAATGAAAATTAATTGACAGATTTTTGTTATATAATATTATAGCACCTTTCTGGAGGAGAGCTGCATTTGAAACATTACCGGTATAACGGATGGAATCAGTCAGAAAAGGTCCCATCTATGGTTGAGCCGTTTTTAAAGCTGGCCAAGGATGTTGAGAATGAGGTCAAAGGTCAAAGAGAAGATAGACCAATCGTAGTTCATTGCTTGTAAGTATTGTATGAAAACAAATCTATTTGCGAAATATTTTTTTCATATTTTGATTTACTGTTGATCCACTATGAAGAGGTATCATTATACATGTATGTGCTTGTATTTAATTGTGTAGCTAGATTTATATTTGTGTGTTTGATTCGGCTTGAATCATTGTGAAAGCAGTTTGATATGTCATGTATACGTATAATTATATAGATACTTTTGTGATTTAATGCTGTTATTTATAGAACTGGAGCTGAACGAAGCTGTTTACTTTGTGCTATCTCTATCATATCAGAAAAGTGTTTCTTTGAGAAAGAAATTAGTGTCCTAAATACCATTTGTCAACTGCGTTCAAGGAGGAAATCAGCTTTTACCGACATTGTAAGTCATTAACTACACTCATATAAAAGCATGTGATATAAAGCATGATAAAACTATAAAATATATCCAACTTGTCATTATTTTGAACTTGTCTGATATTTCAGAATATAACATCTTATATAAACCCCAGCAAACATGCATTTACTTCACATTATTTATCTTATCGCAAATTTATCAGTAAAATAAATTCGCCTAATTGTCAAATCAATTGCAAAACATTGCCTATGTCTACCAGGAAAGACTGATAGTTTTAAATTACATAAGATAAAACAAAAAAATACAGTTATTGAAAAATTGATATCATGGAATTATTATTATTATTATTTTGGTCTAAATTATCAATTTACTTTATTTCAGTCACAATTCAGGTTTTGCTACCAATCTGTAAAATATCTGGCTGAGATTTCCGAAAAGAAGAAATACTATAATATGAACGAGTTGTTGTGAACAATGGTTGAAGAAATTCGTCTTTATTGTCAATTTATTACTTGTCCATTTTTACACAAATATGACACTTGTTAAAAGGCTGAAAATGCTAATATTTTTATGTTTCAAAAGCTTTTTTTGTCGTTTGGTGTCCTGTTGCAATCTCTGAAAAGAAATATTTCTCATTGGCCATACATAAAGTTTAGCCATATTGTTTTAGTGTTGTTTTGGCAAAAATCAGTTATAGTCTTTTGGTATTTTATATGAAAATCAAAATGCAATTTTGGTTACATTTTCCTAACTTATATTTAAAAAATATCTAACCCCTTCGAGCACCGTTTTCTTCAGGTGATATGCATCTTACATGTTCTTAATTAAATTTTACAACATAACAATGCCTTTTCTTCGTTTATCAATGTAAAGGACATTTACACTGTTCAGTACTGTGAAGTTTTGAAATATTGTTATAACGGTTTTCTTACAAGTTTTTGTTTAATAATCTAAAGTCGCACGTATTTGTAATTTTCGATGCATTTAGCTTACAGTATGCATTTGTGTGCTTAATATAAACATTTCGATTTTATTTTACTATGTTCGGTCATATTATTTTATTAATGAAAAGCATGTTACTAATTTTCTTATTGAATATTTAAAACTATATATTTCAATGATATAATATAAGACTGTCTCATTTCATGCAAATTAATTTTCATTTTGGAGTTGTCATGTGCAATAAACATACATATAAATAATTTAAACAAATTATATTATGAGAATGATAAAAGAAAGTATCAGTTTTACGAAAAAAAAACAATATATCAATCAATATATAAAAGAAATAACTGCCATTAACATATATGATTTTGAGTGAAATATTATTCGGTGTGTAAGTCGTTGCTTTATGGCTTAAATGAATTAAGTATTAATCATACTAATTTTGCTTCTTTTACTTAAAGTAAGTTTTTTATCCAAAAAGGTTATTAAGCTATAATGTCTTTTAAAACTGGAATTTATTTATTTCATTTTATCTAATGAGCGGACCCGATAAACCGAATCTGATATAGTCAACTATTTTCTTTTTTCATAACTCTCGAGTATCCGTCCCTTTTGATACAGTATAGCTTCATGTTTTGAAAATAAATGTTTATGCTATAGCCTTTCTAACCGTGTTTTACAGAGTATGCTTTTCTTTTATAAATTATGATAATCAAAGCATATATTAGTAAATATTTCTCTTTACATGTTTACATTGTATAAACTAATTTAGCCAGTCCAACTATAGTTTACAATATTCCACCGTCTATCCAACATAGGTTTATTATCTGTCCAATAGTTGTATAAAATTAAGTCTCTCCAATAACAGGGTACATATTTATTATGTTCTTAATAGAAGTGGTTTATAAATAATTGTCTTTGCAACACAGATGTTCATCTTTCCATTGGTTATCATTGATACCCTTCTATTACTGATTAATAAACTATAGATATTTCTAACATGTGTCTAGAAAATACAGACAATTTAATTCAGATGTAGACTGTAGCCCTTTTATCACTGTTTTGTTATCTTTATAAACTATGTCTGTAAATGAGAATCTTTTATATATATGTTTGTAAAATAAAGCTTCTTCTGCATGAGTTCTTTGAAGATATAGTTATATGGTTGATCTCGAACTAAATGGCTTTATTTATTCAACACATACATTGAAATTTAAAAATAATTTTTTTTTTCACATTCAGCAAGTGGTGTTCAAAATATAAGTTTTTAATTCGTTATCCTATTGCTTATATGTTTATACCTTCTGCATTTACGTTTACATATTATTGTTACACTGTTGTCTGTTTTATATGTTAGCTTTGTAATACTCAAGCTTTAATAAATTAATGACATGTAAATCTGTTTTATTGAAGATTTTATGTTCAAATAAATACAAGTAAATATTACATTACTTATATTTTTTGATAAAGCCATATGCTAGTGAGTGAAATTACACATTGCCTTTCATTACTATAACACAATGCCCCCTAAGACCAAATAGGCTCTGATTCGGTGTTACTATTGCATAGTTCCTGTGGGGTTTTTCACATTCCTGCATTACGGGGCAAACACTGTAATAGTAAGTCTACACACTTCCTACGAGGGGAACTATAATTATACCGCGTGAAGCAATCATTATATTTGTTAATCGGTATTGCCATAAAACTTAAAGCGTTTTACTATTTAAAAAAAAAATAATTCAGTTATTGCTTTAGAGACATTGTCTAAAAAAACTTAACATGAAGTGAATTTAAAGAACATTACTTGCGTCTTAGTGATCTTATTTTGATAGAAAATGAACAGAAAAGCGATTTTGTGTAACCAACTTATATGAGGTTAAAATGGAATAAGAGAGAAGTTCTTTCGATTTCAGTCAAAGCGAAGGTTACTTTAAAAAAAACTGCTTACGATCTTTGATTTACTAGATGCTATATGAGGTTAAATAACAGACAATTTTGCTTACCGTTATTTACAGAAATGTTCATAAAAGATCAAAGCCCACTAAATTTAAACGCAAAGAATGGTGTAAATTTCTAATGATTTTATATAAAAACATTTTATACATTATAAGAATCTGAATATGGTATGTCTCAGGTTCTCTAATAAATATTTAAGTTCTCTATTATAATCACTACACGAAATATTCTATGCTTTCATATAGTAAAATGTTAGTCATTATGATGACGTGCATAACTAAGAATATCAGACGCGAAAGTCACTTAGACAGTCAAAAATTTAAACAAGAAAAAACATGTCTATTTTAAATCTGTGTGTCAATTTAATCTCATTTAGACAAGAGGGTGAGCCTTTTCCTCAAATGACTCGAAGAGCTTGACTTAAGAACTAGAAGGAAGCTCAATATCTGCGACACAAACTAAGCCGCACTTTTACCTATTATTAATCAATAAGACTAACACAAGTACACGATTTGATTTGACTAGTATAAGACAAAGGCTCAGAATATAAAAAAAAACAAGATCAACAAGGTAGGTAGGCATTCAGTTTAATTAAAGCATCCGCAGATTTGTTTTAAGAAGCATACTATCCATAAAGATAAACTTCTTTCGAAAGACATATAAATAATTCATATAATGCAAATCAACATAAAACGATCGAAATTTTATGTTTATCACTTCATTTATTTTGGGGTTCTAATTCTTTTATATCGTCTTATGTGTACAAAAGAAAATTGACAATTTATATTTAGAATTTAACTGTACAGATTAGATTTGTATTAATAGAGGAAAAGGTTTGTTAATTGGGTTCACAATCGAAGCGCGTTATATAACATGCATGTTCAAATCGTGCTTAGAGCATGATTTTATTGTTTTAATTTAATTGCAACATCTTAATATATATCAATTTATGACATGAATCTATATAATAAATTATAGAGGAATTGGCATAAAATAATATGTTTTTCTTTTTCTTTCAAACTTACGTATTCTTGCTTTCTTGCAATATGTACATTCTTTGTATGTATGATTTATAGGTTAAGCAAAGTTTAAAGAAATTAATAACGGAGGAACTGTGCAAAAGAAGGGGACAATCTGTGCAAAATTATTGCCGACAGAAATAACACAGAAAGTGAGCATACCAAAATATCTGACAGAAATGTAATTGAAAGCAATAAATGAGTGCATAAAACTGCTAAGATACTACATGTACTAAGAATATTCACAAACAAGTTTTACTTTTAAGATCATTCGTGGGAATGACGACCTGGCTAACGTATTGACGGTGTCTTTTGTGTTCGTTTATTGTATAATTAGTACGATATAGCATAACAATTGAGTAAAATTGTGATTAAGACATTTTTATGAGGTCACACGCGTTGTCTCGGTGCAACTTTTACGGAATCTGAGGGTCTTTGCAACAAATATCAATATCAAACTATATCTGCTTACAAAAATATAAATAACAATGTGATTATGCGTTAATATCAAACAGTATTGAAAAGACAATAAATATGTTACTTAATCTTCTGCTCAATCAAACCGAGCCACGACCTTCATGTTTTTAAGAAAGTGAAACAATTAAGACTGTTTGTAATTATACCCAATCAAGTACGGTTAATATTTGGAAAAAAGTAAACCTCGGAAGCATTTCAAACAGCAAAATTACATGAAAATTACAGACTCGGTTTGATTGTGTCTGTACATTAGGGATAATGAAAAAGTGCAACATTCCTCACGCCCCCCCCCCAGCACCGGTTTGAGAGGTACTCAATTCTCAACACTGAATAGTGCTTGACACAATGATCCCGAAGGAACAAAAAAATATTAGAACACGAGGCAACCTTTGACGGCTGCCACACAACACTGCTGTTGTGAAGTATACGGTAACTTGCACTGAAATACTATGTTTGAATAACATTTAACATGATTATTCTGATGATACTGATGTAAATAGCAAATTGTATGCATTGTGTATTAGGTATATAAATGAGCTTTCTATAGCTTTTGTATTTATAGATGTTCTTATTAATTCTTTACTGTTTCATGATATTATGTTCACAGTATGAAATAAAGTTTGTTTCACTGGATAATGATAGAACACTTGGTTTTTTTTCTTTACAGCAAATGAACTTACAAAGTAACCTGCGCTAAGTATAGTATTCTGTATAAACACATGGTTACAGCATATAACTATTGAATTTCTTTGAAAAAAATTGATTATTTCCTGTAGTTCTACATATGATATAAAACATAAAGAAGTCAAATAAATTATAGAGAGTCTTTTCAGTTCTCGCATGTACGTATACATGGTACATTGTATAAGGTATTTTTTCGAAACACCATACTGAACTGATGGTATAAAGACAGAATGTTGGGACAAACAAACAATCAGGAACTTCCCGACAAATAAAACCAAATTTTAAGTTTAATCATTTAAATATGTAAACGCCAGCTTACGGTTATATATTTGTTTTTACATTTTGGTACACTAATTGCTATTGTATACATACATAAATGGCGAAAAATGGTGAAGGTAGGAATTGTCATACATTCATATTGCTTCAAAGTATTCGGAATACCAGCATTTCTGACAATAGTTATAATTGCTCATAGCTAATGCACTTAATGTACTTAAACCTTCTTGGTATATACAGTTTATAGTGTTATTTATCGTTGGCATGTACCATTACTATTACGATCATCCGAAACATCTCGCTGATAAACAAAATTTATTTTCGAAATGAATACGCAACGTGTATATCTGAGCCGTTAGCCAAATTACACGTGTCGTATTACACTGCAATAAGCTTTTAAAATGTAACTGAGGTAATTTGCACGGTTTAACGCCTAAATAATGAATGATGGATCCAAACAACGCTCGGTATCATAAACAAGTCGTTTACTTACTATTTATAAACATGTTTCAAGTTTGTAGCGTATAGTACCTTATCTGTGTAGTTCGACATCAATGTCCGAAATTTGACGGAAAAGGCCGTGAATTTGAAGAACATTTAAAACCATGAACCTGTCAAAAATGTTAATTAAGTTTAACAAATGAGATGATTTTTTAAGGAATGGCTAGATTGACTGACCGTACAAATTTACTGAACATATTGTAAGTATTTCCAATAAACATTTTCAATTTCAGTATAAATGCGCAACTCTCGAAATCTTGCAATTAAATGTTAAATATAGACATAAAATATTAAAACTGACTTA